CTTTAAGTACTTCAAGTACTTTACTTGAAGTACTTTTATATTTAGGTACTTGGTACTTGGTACTTGGAGTATTTCTAAAATGTACTTGAGTTTAGTACTTGATTTTGCCAAGTACTTTACTCCAAGTACTTCACTCAGTATTTTAAATACTCTTGAATTACTTGAAGTATGAAAGTGGAAATTTCAAATACTTTAGTCTCTATTTTACGAAGTTTTCACATCTCAAAATAGGGTCTGTTAAATACTTGAAGTTATTAATTCAATTATTTTATTAGATGTATTTTTAGAGTAAAATCGTGTTTGTTTCCTGTGAGGTTATATTTTGATCTGTGATTGTGGATATCTTATCCACAATAAGACATACATTTCATAGGTACTTGCATAATGCCGATAGATAGGTAGGTAAGAAAATTAATGTCATAAATATGTCATTTGAGAGTGGATGACGACAGCAGAAGGGTCGGAGATCTGTGTAAAATTTTCAGCGATGTAAAGTTGTGAATATATGAATTTTGTCTTTTTTGTATTTTGGTCTGGAACTTAACTTTGCGGGTAGTTTTTCAGTACCTTCCCGGTACCCCAAAGGGAATCGGGTTTGTTGACGTACCTGCTAAAGTGCAAAGTCGGATTTGAAAATATTTGAGAAATGATTCAGTACTCGTTCAAAAATATATTTATTCTTTCGTTAGTTTCTTAACCCCGCCGTGTATTTGTCAGTAAGAAGCCTGGTCAGGGCGGAGAATTCGGCAGGGGATTATCCCTTTTATTATAATAGCAATAGCTGATGGCAGGTACAGACTTTCATATTCGCCTCTTCCTCGTAGAATTTAAACACAATTTTATGTTAAATATTTTGCAGTTTAATTTTCTTTATCATGTTAGACACTCGTTTTTTACCAAATTTTCTTTTTTTGTTTATACATGGTTCAGCCATATAAACTTAGTTTGTTATTACTACTTATATTTTTTCACATTACAGTTTCAAATAATCTGTTAAATTGTATGAATTATTTGAACACCAACAATTTAAAAAGACGTAATGCAGAAAAACAATGATTTTAAAAGTCACACTAATTAGTGTCATTTATCTTTCCTGTGCGGATTTTTGAGTTTTGTGAAATTCGGCTCGTAGTAACAATGTTTTTTGTAATCCAGTTGATACAACCATGATTGTATGGTTTTGATGAGTACCGAATTGTACTTTGATATTGCTCGAAGGACCTTTGTTTTGTTGTGTGCGAAATAATAGACAGCCTTCGGTTTCGATATTTAAATACAGGACGGTTACAGAAGTACTGAATTTACATTTGTATTTACAATATCAGGTAAAGATACCCAAAAGGGTCAGTAGCCGCTTCCGTAAATGGAACAAAATACATATTCACATTATAAAAAAATACAAAGTTAATGAAATTCGCGATTAGTTAGTATAATTGCCAAGATAAATACACCCCTACGAAATATTTTAACAATAATACATTTAGTACATATTTACCTGAATTTTCGCAAAAGCCGTTGTTAGGCATTCCCTGAAGTCATTGTAGTTATCAGTTACTAATGTCATCTTCTTTGGGTTTTCAGGTAAAAATAAAAAATAAGCCAATCGAAAATGTAAAGGAAAATTTTGAAAGTACATATTGTGGCATTAGAGGAACAAAATTTTGTATAAATGGACGGAACAGCATTACGAACCTATTATTTGTGATTTGCCAGTGTAAAGTTACGTACTTAGTTATTAGACAAACATTGTAGTGATTAGTGTTTACTATTTAGTCACTGTAGTAGTTGGGTTAATTTAATAATTTTTAGAATAGTAAATACCTACCTAAGTGGTAGACAGATATATTCAGAAATATGGGGCATTCATTCCAAGAAAATTCTCAGCATTTTTGGTAACCGCAAAAGTAAAAAACGACTAATTAGTTTGATCACCTTGATATTTCTCAAGAGTTATAGTTTTCGCTGAAAATGGACTCTCGTTTTAGGCATTTTATTTTTTATTTAAAAAATCCTTCCTTTTTTTTTGAAAATGCAACATAGTGACTTAAACATTTTTATGTCACGAGCATGTGTATATGTATCGCACTGCTCTTAAAATTTTTTTCTGAAAAATTTCAGTTTTACAAATCCGGCCCTGTGCACTTTCACAATGGGTAATGATTAAGGGTGCTGTAAACTACCCACAAACTTAAACACGGAACCGGTTCATAAAATTCACATATTTTTAACACAACTTTATTAAAAAATCACAACGTTTTGGTGGTGAACCAAAATTCAAAATATTAAAAAAAGGCAACAGAAGCCTGAGAAAATACCATACAGCGCCGATGTTTTTGTTATAAATTAATAGTAAGCATACATAGACAACGCCGTCATGTATTTTATTTTAAATTTTAAATTAGAAATAGACGTTAATTTTGTCGAAGGCATTGTGTCAACAGAAAGATGTAAAAGTATTTCAAAAGAATATTGTTTATAAATAACATAGTATTATTAATAAGTGAGCTACCATTCTGCATTTAAGTTGATGCTTATGCAATTTGTTATGTGGCGAAATATGTATTATTGTATACTTAAATTCTGAATATTAAAAAATTCAGTTCTAAAATATATTAAGGAAAAGTTATCTAATTCTACAGTATTTCAAATAATTAGAAAGTACTTGAACCATTTTCAGTACTTCAGGTATTTGTAAGTACTTGAAGTATACCTCCAGTACTTCAAGTACTCGTAAGTACTTGAAGTAATGTACTTGGCTTGTACTTCAAGTACATCTGAAAAGTACTTGATACTTGAAATACTCTTGCTGAAAGTAAGTACTTGGTACTTTACTTAAACACTATTTCAAGTAGTACTTTGTACTTGGTACTTCAAGTACTTCTTTTGAGTACTTTGAACAGCTCTGCTAGGGTGGTATTTAATATATCTTGTAGGCAATTTTGTAGGAAAACATTTACTAAATTTAACACCAACACTACGATCAACATCTCTATATAAAATTTTATTCTGCATCCATTACACGCGTAATAAGTCTAAATTCCAAATTTGTAATAATGTAGACAGTTGCCAAACAAGAACTAGATACATTTTTTATTATAAAACGGTTGGAGTTTTAACTCTGCGTTGTCAATTTATATAAATTGAACGCGTATACGTGACGAAAGTCATTAATTTTCTCTTAAAAACTAATAAAAACCAAAAATATGTTGCATTTGTATTTTTTGAAAAAGTGATGATTAGTAATGATGATTGGGTTAATTAAAGTAAAATCCATGTATTGTCAATTGTTGGTTATTATAAAATATACTTTTTTCATTTATTTATGTTATAAAAATATCATAATTAATTATTATATTAATATTGTATAAAAAAATTAAAGTACAGTGTCTAATTTACCAACTAAAGTAACAAGTTATTTTTGCATCGTGAGAGTCGTTGTGGTCTTACTCTTTCAATTCTGGCAGTGGGTGTAGATTGTGTTCTCTTAGAGCATCCTGCACCTACTAATGGAATGGAATCAACACCACTCTCTGAGGCGTTTTCATGTACATATTGTTTGATGGTTCATTTCTATATCTCTTTCTATAGCGGTATTATATGCCAATGTTCAGACTCAGTTTAGACCGCTCTAGGTGACCTCGACACCGACACCGACAGCAACACCGAATTCGAGCTCGTAGCACGAACTCGACATCCTATTCCGGCGCGCGTCGTATAAGTGTTCTATATTACGGAAAGAAAGGAGTTAAAACTCCAAAAAAAAGCCTAAGATGCTGGAGGCTATTACAGAATTTATGACCTGAACATTTCAAAAATATTTCAGTCGAAATTTTATTGAGGAAACACGAAAATGTTGCAAAATATTGTGTCATTTGTGTTTTACTTTTTGTATTTATTATATTGTATCGATATTTCTTATTACCGTACTTATTGCTCTTCTTTAATTATGTTTAACACGTATAAATGTAGACACAATTTTGTAAAGAAAAAACTAATTTGAAAATTCACTTTGACAGTAAATACATATCTTTATATTAACTTGTAGGGCTTCTCATAAAAAATAAAATTCGCAAAATCAAATTTTATAATTTTTATTGTGACGGGTGGTTAAATGAAAAATCACTCAGAGTAGGCTTTGCAATTTCATTTGACATAAACGACATATCAATTTTTATACCATCCAGAAACTGTAAGGTTATGTTTCTGCCAAATGGATGTTATAAGAATAGACATGCCTTTTGTGTCAAATGAAATTCTAGCGCCTACTCCGAGTGATATTTTCGATTAAATATCTGTTATTTCAGAGGCGAAGGAAATAATCTTCGACTAATTTTTTTTACTCACAATTCTAAGGGCCATTTTTTTAACAGACAGAAAAGAAGACCTTTTCATGCTCTAGAAACTATAAAACGTGAAGGTAACACGAAGTTAACTATTCGGGCAGTCGTTCATGGACCCCAACTTCAATACTCTCTTAGCTCACGTAATATTAGTTTAAAATTTATATCGTGTCACACCAATCTTACAAACAAATTATCAAATATAGAAGGAAAACAGAAATATATATGATAATAAATAATTAATTAACTAACAAATCATAAAATCAAGTTAAACAAAGAAAGAGAATAAGTATCTGAGTTCTCTGATATTACAAAACCACTGAAATAGTTTTCTCTCAGCTTGAACTTTGCCATTGAAGTATTTTTAATTTCACTTCTTGGTCGTCTGTCTACCGCAACCACGAGTACAAACACGAATGTACGGAAAGTCATTACAACGAAACAATATCCTGTTACGGTAATAAACTATTATTTCCAAAATAGCTAGATGCAAAGCTCGTTCGCGTTTAAAAGACTTATTAACTGTTTTTGCATTTCAGCGAATGCATGTACCATAGACTCAGCTATTATTTCCGGGAAATAAATTATTTCCGCCAAAGTATGTTGTGGATTTAATTCAGCATAATAGCAAACGTTGTTATGTGCATGTTTTTGTTGCAGCAACAGCAAGCGGAAGCAGCGCATTTCACTCATCATCAGCAGTTTTAGAGTCCGTTCTACTCGTTTTCCATGTACTCTTACTACGTAAGTGCTGAGAAGACCAGCCAGTTTCAGCAGCAGCTAACACCCTCATCCTTTCCAGGTTAAATTGAACTTCTTGTCGAATGGCCAAAGTGTGTTATGTAAAATATTTTCTATAAATGTGTAAATTAAAAGAATGTTATATTCCTTGAATAAATTGTGTACATTTTTTTATGTCTGCTTTTCGTTTCTTGGAAAACGGCGAGGACAGCTATTCAGACAGGTGCATGTAGGCTCGGGAAGTCGTTTGTTGAGTCGGCTTTTTATGTCGTTTTTATTTCCTTTTTTGTGGATTGAACGCATTACCCTCTTTACGTTTCCGACAAAACCCTCTATCCTTTCATACTCTCGGCGCCCCTTTAATTCATTCTCTTCGTCAGGCCGTTCTTAATGCAAAAGAGTGTTCATAGAAAACGTTATCCATATCCGGCCTTTGCTGATTTTCGATTTGCCATTTTTATTATTCTATGGATAGTTTCTCTTGTTCACTTTGCCGCATTCAGCTCAAAATTACTACGCAATTCTCGACTAAATACATCGATCGCAATCAATATCCAGTGACGAAAACACATCAGCAAGAACCCATGGAATACAATACATTTACAAAGCGAAAACAATAATATCAAAGGTACGTATATTTGTATCATCGTAACCCACAATTTATTGTTGTGAAATTTACATAAATTCGCACTTTATTGTAGGGTCTGTCTCTCATTTGATACTATAAGATCTGCAGTGTCTAACATTCAATTAAATTAAAGCATAAGCTTACCGTGGAACCTAGTTTCAAAGCGAATTTTGTTTCTTGTTTTTTACTTAATAGACATATCTACTGCTGATTTCAGAAAAATTATACATCGATTGACAGCGAAATGTAAGTTGTTGGATTAAAATTCATGTCAGTGACAGTTTATTAATAAAAACTTTGGCAAGTGTATTTATTTCGAATTCTGCAACATTACACGTATTTATAGTCTTTATTTAGAATTAGAAAATTTATTATCAAGAATAATCTGACGACGTTACCTCAAATTTCTGTTAGCTAATTCCTATTTATTGTATTTTAATAATATGCCGCTATAAATCACTAAAAACTATTAGAAATAGAAAAAATTGGTCGAAAGTTATTTCGACCGAACATCCCTCACTTCTGAAGTAGAGTCCAAATCTTTTTTTTTGCCTAATTTTACTTTTCAGTGATAACCTCAATTGAGTAAAAACAATATAGAAGGTACTAATCACAGTATAATAAAAAAAAAGAAGGTTTCACCTTCTTAAAAAAAACATAGTTGGGAGCCTTGACAAGATTTTATATTCTTAAAAAAAGACACTTGGGACCTTCGAGAAGGTTTCGCCTTCTTTAAAAAAGACAGTCGGGACCGCCGAAAAGGTTTCACATTAAAAAATAATACATTTAGGGCCCCCGAGAAGGTTTTACATTTATAAAAAAGACAGTCGGGACTCCCGAGAAGGTTTCATATTTAAACAAAAAGACATCTGGGGTCCCCGAGAAGGTTTCACAATCTTAAAAAACACAATTGGTACCCCTGAGAACGATTCACATTCTAAAAAAAAAACATTTGGCGCCCCCGAGAAGGTTTTACATTTTAAAAAAAGACAGTTGGGAACTCCGAGAAGGTTTTAAAAACAGTTGCGATCAGCGAGAAGGTTTCGTATTAAAAGCAGGACATTTGGCGCTCCTTAGTAAGTTTTACAATTTTAAAAAAGACAATTGAAACCCCCGAGAAGGTTTCATATTTAAAAAAAAGATATTTGGGGTCCCCGAGAAAGTTTCACATTCTTAAAAAAACGCAATTGGGACCCCCGAGAAGGTTTCACATTCTAAAAAAAACATTTGGCGCCCCCGAGTAGGTTTTACAATTTTAAAAAAGACAATTGAGACCCCGAGAATGTTTCATATTTAAAACAAAGACATTTGGGGTCAACGAGAAGGTTTCACAATCTTAAAAAAACACAATTGGTACCCCTGAGAAGGGTTCACATTCTAAAAAAAAAACATTTGGCGCCCCCGAGAAGGTTTTACATTTTAAAAAAAGACAGTTGGGAACTCCGAGAAGGTTTCACATTCTAAAAAAAAATTTGGTGCCCACGAAACGGTTTTACATTTTTAAAAAAGACAGTTGGGAACTCCAAGAAGGTTTTAAAAACAGTTGCGATCAGCGAGAAAGTTTCGCATTAAAAGCAGGACATTTGGCGCCCACGAGTAGGTTTTACAATTTTAAAAAGACAATTGAGACCCCCGAGAAGGTTTCATATTAAAAAAAAGACATTTGGGGTCAACGAGAAGGTTCCACATTCTTAAAAAAACGCAATTGGGACCCCCGAGAAGGTTTCACATTCTAAAAAAAAACATTTCGTGCCCCTGAGAAGGTTTTACATTTCTAAAAAAGACAATTGGGACCCCCGAAAAGGCTTAAAAAAACAGCTGGGATTTGCGAGAAGGTGTCACATAAAAGCAGGACCCTTGGCGCCCCCGACTAGGTTTCACATTTTGAAAAAAGACAGTTGGGGCCCCTGAGAATGTTTCACCTACGTAAAAAAAGAAAACTGGCGCCCCGAGAAAGTTTTACATTTTTAAAAAAGATAGTTGGGAACCCGAGAAGATTTTAAAAACAGTTACGATCAGTGAGAAGGTTTCACATTAAAAGCAGGACATTTGGCGCCCACGAGTAGGTTTTACAATTTTAAAAAAGACAATTGAGACCCCGAGAAGGTTTCATATTTAAAACAAAGACATTTGGGGTCCCCGAGAAGGTTTCACATTCTTAAAAAAACGCAATTGGGACCCCGGAGAAGGTTTCACATTCTAAAGAAACATTTGGCGCCCCCGAGAAGGTTTTACATTTCGAAAAAAGACAATTGGGGCCCCCCAAAAGGTTTAAAAAACAGCTGGGATTTGCGAGAAGGTGTCACATTAAAAACAGGACCCTTGGCGCTGCTCCCCCGACTAGGTTTCAGATTTTAAAAAAAGACAGTTGGGGCCCCCGAGAATGTTTCACCTTCGTAAAAAAAAAGAAATTTGGCGGCCCGAGAATGTTTTACATTTTTGAAAAAGACAGTTGGGACCCCCGAGAAGGTTTGACATTGAATAGGAAGATATTTGCGGCCCCCGACAACGATTTACATTTTTAAAAAAGAAAGCTGGGACACCCGAGAAGGTTTCATATTCTTAAAACAGAGAATTGGCACTTCCGAGAAGGTTTTATATTTTTAAAAAAGACAGTAGGGACACTGTTCCCATTAAAAAAATAGTCATTTGGGGTCTCCGAGAAGGTATTACATTCTTAAAAAAAAACAGTTGGGAGCCCGAGGAGGTTTCATATTCTTAAAAAAAAACATTTGGCGCCCCCGAGGGGGTTTTAAATTTTTTAAATTGACAACTAGTCCCCCGAGAAGGTTTCACATTTTTAAAAAAGACATTTGGGGCCTCCGAGAAGGTTTCATATTTTTAAAAAAGACAGTCGGCACCACCGAGAAGGTTTCACAACCTAAAAAAACATTGGGAGAGAAAGTTTAACATTTCTAACAAGACAGTTAGGACCCCGTGAATTGTTCACATTCTAAAATGAGATATTTGGCACCCCCGAGAAAGTTTTAGATTTTTAAAAAAGACAGTTGGGACTCCCGAGAAGGTTTCACATTAAAAAAACGACGCTTAGAGCCCTCGAGAAGATTTTACATTTTTAGAAAAGACAATTGGGACCCCGAAGAATGTTTCAGATTAAAAATAAAACATTTGGCGCCCACGAGAAGGTTTTACAATTTTAAAAAAGACAGTTGGAACCCCCGAGAAGGTTATACATTTTCAAAAAAGACAATTGGGACCCTCGAGAACGTTTTACATTTTCAAAAAAGACGGTCCGGACCTCCAAGGTCTTTTGCAATAAAAAAAAGAGATTAAGGGCTCTCGAGAAGTTTTACATTTTTAAAAAAGAAAGTTGGGACCCCGGGAAAGTTTCACATTCTTAAGGAAGACAATTGGCGCCCCCAAGAAAGTTTTACATTTTTAAAAAGACTGTTGGGATCTTCGAGAAGGTTTCACTTTAGAAACAAGACATTTAGGGCCTCCGAGAAAGTTTTACATTTTTAAAAATAGGGACCCCCGAGAAGGTTTCTCATAAAAAAAATTGGGTGCCCCCCGGACGGTTTTACATTTTTAGAAAAGACAGTTTGGACACAATTCGCATTAAAAAATAGTTATTTGGGGTCTCCGAAAAGGTATCACATTCTTGAAAAAACAGTTGGGACCCCCGAGAAGGTTTTATATTCTTAAAAAAAACGTTTGGCGCCCCCAAGAGGGTTTTTAAATTTTTAAAAAAGAAAACTAAGGCCCCCGAGAAGGTTTCACATTTTTAAAGAAGACAGTCGGGACCCCCGAGAAGGTTCCACATTCTAAAAAAACATTGGGCGCCCCCGAGAAAGTTTAACATTTCTAATAAGACATTTGGGACCCCGAGAAATTTTTGACATTCTAAAAAGAGATATTTGGCACCCCCGAGAAAGTTTTAGATTTTTAAAAAAGGCAGTTGGGACCCACGAGAAGGTTTCACATTAAGAAAACGACGTTTAGGGCCCTCGAGAAGGTTTTACATTTTTAGAAAAGACACCTGCGACCCCCAAGAAGGAAGGTTTGGCATTAAAAATAAAACATTTGGCGTCCACGAGAAGGTTCTAGAATTTTAAAAAAGACAATTGGGACTCCCGAAAAGGTTACACATTTTCAAAAAAGACAATTGGGACCCTCGAGAAAGTTTTACATTTTCAAAAAGACGGTCGGGACCGCCAAGGTCTTTTGCAATAAAAAAAAAGATATTAAGGGTTCTCGAGAAGTTTTACATTTTTAAAAAAGAAAGTTGGGACCCCCGGGAAGGTTTCACATTCTTAAGGAAGACAATTGGCGCCCCCAAGAAAGTTTTACATTTTTAAAAAGACTTTTGGGATCTTCGAGAAGGTTTCACTTTAGAAACAAAATATTTAGGGCCTCCGAGAAAGTTTTACATTTTTAAAAATAGGGACCCCCGAGAAGGTTTCTCATAAAAAAAATTTGGTGCCCCCCGGACGGTTTTACATTTTTAGAAAAGACAGTTTGGACACAATTCGCATTAAAAAAAAGTTATTTGGGGTCTCCGAGAAGGTTTTATGTTCTTAAAAAA